TTTTGTATTCTATTATTCTTGTACATTCCTTTCTTCTGTTTTGTCAGTAGCAATTCTTTGGTTTGTAATAAGTTTTCATTTTCTCTAATCTGCTTGGGTAGTTCCAGGTTCAAAGATTTGTTAGAATTTTTTGACTTGTCCTTTCTGGGTTGCTTTTGAATTGCTATTCTGTTTGACTTAATAAATAACTTTGCCATTCGTCAGGAGCTTTTTAAATTTCATTTTGAATCATTAATTTTAACTACTCTACACACTAATTCTAATTATGGCATGATTGGTATGAGAGAATGACATGAGAATGAAATGTTCATTCCTTTCCTCATTCCTTATCTCATGATTGGTATATTTTTTGGAAAGGAATAACAATTCTAATTGAAATTGCAAAACTCATCTCCATGGGATTAGTCATTCCATATCAAATGCAAGGGTGTAGGAATTATTTTCTCAAAAAATAAAATTAACAAATAATAATAATAAATAAATTTATAATATATACTATAAATTATGTTTAATTATATTAAATAAAATAATTCCAAAAATTAAATTTCAAATAAAAAAATTAAAAATTTATTTTTATTTATTGTTCATATTTTAATTAGATATATTAAATACTTATATAACAACAACAACCACAAACCGTTAAAATCTCACTAAATGGTGTCGGTTATATGGATAGCATGTCGCCGACTCGCCATCGTGCTCGATGAAAACACACATCAACATTCAAATTTAAATATGTAAAATTATTTTTTATTATTTTATTCTAAGTTTTCTTAGGTCTACCCCACATTTTTTATTTGCGTTCTTATTCTAATGTTTCTAAGTCTCTCCTATACACATGCTCAAACCATATATAATAATAAAGCTAAAAAAGCATTTATAAATATTTTAAAAATATATTATTTTATTTTTATAAATCATGTATATTATAAATTTATTCATAAATTGAATTATATTATAAAAAATTATATTCGACTACATATGCTTATAGAGATTTATGTAATGCTATATTTGTATTCGCTAATATGTATATGAATACACAATTAACTAATTATTATATAATATATATGTTTGTAAAAATACATAAATATATTTATTAAAATATAATATATTTTTTTAAAAAATAATTTTATTATTATCATAAATTAAAAAATAACATTAATATAAATACTAATTTTTTTATATAAAATAGTCATAAATGATAATAAAGAATGATATTGTCATTCCATTCAGGTCTAATTCCTTCTGCATACCAAACACATCAATGAAAAAATTGGTTCTATTTCATTCCCATATTCATTCCATCTTTCAACCCATTCCATTATACCAATCATGCCATTAACTTGTTCAAAAAATATTACATATCTACTCCGAAAATATTTTATTTGCAAAAGGGCATCCGCTAACCAAAATATTTGTAAATATATTATTTATACACATCAATTCTTTTCCCCTTTTTTTCTTTCTCTTTTTATCCCATTATTTCTCGTTTTCCAAACACTCACCACATCTACCACAATTAATTCTCTCCATCTTCTTTTCTCCTCGTCTTTTCTTTTCCAGATAATCATGAGTCTCAATTTCTTCTAAATTTCTTTTCCCTTTTTCTATTTTCTCCTTGTTCGTATCTAATTTATCCCTCAAGAAGACAACAATTGGTGAACGCTGTTTGTGACTAGTAGAGAGCAGCGGGCGGCTGCAACTCCAAGCATCAGCGATGGCGGCGAGGGATTGCCCTTGTGCGGGGTGCCCAATCCTCAAACTTCTATCGCTTGTGGTTCATGCACCGGCGACGGACGCATCTCGCAGTGATGAGACCTCAAATTGATTGCTCGTCCAATGGCGGAGGCGGGCTCTCGCTGTTCAATCGGCGAGAAGTGACGCAACTTCCTGATTGAGTTCTGAAGGTGAACAACATTGGCCCGTGTGGAGTGAGCGTCTCGGCTGAACGATAAGATCCGCCCAACACTGTTGGATTTTTTCTTTTTTCTTTTTCCTTTTGCTTGCAGTCTCCCAATGCTCC